AATAAACGTTAATAAAACCCAGATTGCGCATCCTGGATGTAAAAATTTTATGCAATGCAGCTACCGCAAGCAATATTGATGCATGGTGATAGCACAGGACACATTAGAAATGACCTAAGCACTTGTGGCTTATAATCCAATGGCACCATCATGTCTTAAGCAAATAGATAAGAAAATATAACTCAGTACTCACTGCAGTGAGTGACAGAGAGCGCATTTTCTCGCTGACGAAAACTTGAGGTCATGGACAGACGGACATGGCGAGCAAAATAGTGCATTTTTTCTATAAATGAGAAAATGCGCTAAAAAGATGGAAGTGCATGGAATGTGATTTAGTTATAATAGTGAAAACTCAAGATGACCATCAACAAATGCTGTTCTAGTTCAAAGCACTGAATGTACTAAGATCATGGACACAGTGCAATGCGGGACAATGTAGGTTAGATGTGTACAATAAGTCACCATTATGCCTAATGAGTGCCTGTAGTCTTTGAATGCTTCAACAAAATTAGATTGGATTTGAAAATATAAAATATTATTAATCATACAGAGGTTAAAGTTATATAGGTATTGGTCAGCCATGTATAATTAGACTCAAATAAAATAATGAATAAGTGCCCACAACAGAACATAATTATGTAACATAATCTAAAGCATGCTCTGAATCAACCCTTCAGCTTATAACTTTCAGCCAATACAATAGTAAGTAGTAAGAACATAAACTCGCATTGTCAGAATATCTTGTAAATAAAATATCAATTGATGGTCTAACTAACTATGTGGTCACCTCAATGTTATGGATATCACAAAATAAAATAGGTCTCTTCACTTGGAAATGTATTTCACAGAATGGTGTTATCAGTGTGGTTGTACTGAATTAAAAAATATAACTCAGTACTCACTGCAGTAAGTGACAGAGCGCATTTTCTCGTTGACAAAAACGTTAAGTCACGGACGGACATGGCGAGCACAATAGTGCATTTTTTCCATAAATGAGAAAATGCACTAAAAATCATAACTCATTACTGATGCGCTAACAAAGGAGCATTTTTGTTGCTCTCCTTTACTTCAGGTGCAAAATTTGCAATAAAATTTCAGTTTTAAGCCATATTTTGAACAAACTTTACATTATTGAACCTACAACATAATCAGACTACCACAAAACCAAGAAATCAAAATAAGAGCTTTGAGCCCACATTTATGATACGCATTGCAGCATGGAAATGATAGCATCTTGCAATTAAATTATTACTTCTTCCTAAATATCAAGAATAACCATGCTTGCACTAGAAAATTTTTAATATGGTAATACTTGTTAATTTTCTTAAAAATGCCAATGACCGCTCCAAATGATTCAACATAAAACGAACAATTGAACATGGCACAATTACGTATAATTTATAATGCAAGAAGACTTTGCACTGTGATCCAATGGCATTGCAACTAACCTATCCCAAACTGGCACAGCTGTTGCACCATGTAGGTATAGACAACTGATGGAAAGAATGAATATAACCTTGGAAAAAGTGACATGAGTAAGAAGTCAGAAATAATGGGAATGTATGTGCATAGCAAAATAGGGTTTGGTTCAATATTGGCTATCAAATTCTCTACCAGCTTGTGAGGCAGATTAACACGTTGACTAAGATTGCTTCATCTTGTACTATTATTTCATTTTTTGTACTGTTTTTAAACACGGTTGCCAGCCGGTCATTTTTTCCGGACAAATTCCGCGATTTAGTTTTCCTCAATTGCGTTGGCTGGCTAAAATTTATAATAGGGGTACTTCCTAATTAGATTTTAAATACTGCAAAAAGAAAATAAATGGAATTTTTATAGCAGAACCTAGAAATAAACTAGTATACATTGAATTATCAGCCTTTTTTGTTCTCTGATTTGTCCAATTTTAGACCACCCTTAATTATGTAAAACTACGTCCTGGAAAAATACATTTCGTGGTACGCATATGTACCACTTCATAGTCCAACGTGTTAATTTGATAGCCAATATTGAATCAAACCCTATTTTGCAATACACATATAGCCAGATTACACACAATATACACAATAGCCAGATTTAGGAAAACTGAGGAATGATGTGTATATGTTGAATGAATAGCCTTCAATACTGAGAGTTACCGCACTAAAATTGGGGTGGGCAAAACATTTTGCGCTGCGTTTTCAGATTGATTCAGTCATTCAACTAACTTCTAGCACAGGTTCTCAAATTAAGCGCAAAAGCAGCAAGACAAATGTGCTGTCACTGACTTGAATCTTAGAATAACTGCAATTGCATATAAGTATACCAGAGCTGCACAATATGTGCAATTAATTTCGTCAAAATGCATAAAATAAACTTCAAACCTATTTGTCACTGTTGCTTGACCATTCCACATGATTTTTGCTTATGGTTGTACAATAGTTACGTGGCAAAAGAATGAGATTTACATGAAATATATTGACACAAAACTAAAATCAATGAAACAGCATAGAACTGATGCAGTGGTATATGATAGCATGGACATGGACAACATGACAAATAGGAATAAAATATTAGAATCCTTATAACGTGGCCACATTAAAAGTTTTGCCAAGACTTAATTTAAAATATATAACGGTTTAACAAGAAAATGGTAATATCCAGTCACCCAGAATACTTAGCTCATTTGCACTTGAGCTGCATTTTTGAATATAAATAATAGGAATGTCTCTATGATGGTGAACATCCAAACAGCAGTTAGTTGCCTTGCAACAGAATTACCTTTCTTACAAATTTTCTTGCTGAGTAAAATTTCTATCTACAAGAAATTGAAGCCGCAAAATTGTAAAATACGTAAACAAACACTATAGACAGTGCTAAGATAAAATCTGAGCCATAACACAGCAAGAATGTCCCCAAAAAAAGTGTTTTGTGTGAGTGGCTACTGAGAAGCTGGGTGGGAGAATCTCTGCATACCTCGAGTCAGGAGCCTGAAATGCAAACCATTGCAGTCAGTAAAGGTGGCTGGCAACCAGACTTAAATTTCCATGATAAGATATGATAAATAAAATATGACAAACAAGATATGATAAATTTCCATGATAAATGCAAACCATTGCAGTCAGTAAAGGTGGCTGGCAACCAGACTTAAATTTCCATGATAAGATATCTTTCAAATGATAATGAGTGATTAGGCATAGTTTTTCCAGAGAAATAGCTACAAAAATTCATACATTGACTTTAAATTGTATGTAGTTATCCAATAGTATATCAAACATGTAATGATGAAAATTTGTGTTTAATTAATGACTCTAGAATTATTAGGCATATAAAAATCAATTATTTTATAGGGTATTCCTAGCACTGGTATTAGAGAACAGAGACAACCATCACTTGTTAAAAATTATGAACAGAAATACAGATGTTATATTTCCATCTACATTGAATGCAATGTAAGTTTGATTTTTCCACAATTAATTTCATTTATTTGATGACCACAAATCTAATATGAATGGAAAATTTATCTATTTGTAGCAGCAGACAGCAGTGATGAGAGCTCATTGTCACTGCCAGAACTTTCATATAAATTTTGTTAGGAGAAGCATAATCACGTCACTAGTCAATGGCAAATGTTGAGTGATGCTAGTTCAGATAGGGATAGTGAAGGGAGTTTCATCAAGAATTAAGAATGAAATAGCATGAGTAATTCAGCCAAAAATAACCTGAAAATAAGACAAGATTACAATTAGGAACATATACACTGCTGGGGGATAACTGCTGCCTCCATGCCACCTGGAAAAGGCAAACTATTAAAAAATTATTAATCTCATTTCTATTCCATTATCCATTACCATCCATCTAGTTGAAATTAAAAGAGCCTCCCAAATGTTCCGTTTCTTCCAAATGTTATCCGATAAGCATGGGAGTAAACATGCCATCAACTGATATCAATTTATGTTATTCAAGGATAGGTAGAAGGCGTTCATATTAGGATATGCTTTCATTGCTTTGGCCTTTATAACTAGAGATATGAGCAATGCCAATAGGCTCTGTCATAGACACCAAGAAATTAAAAAAAAAAAATAGCAGCCTTTCATTAGGCTTCAGCTCAGCACAAGTGCTTATATTTGGCTCCATAGTACCTACACTACAGAACAGTGTGCTCGGGCAGGTGAGGTAACTATATGACGGTGAAATTACTTGCAAATGCTGAGCTGCTCTCAGAGCTTGTCCAGCACCTCTTATACCCATGTAGGCAACTTACCTATAACAACCTAAATCTTATTCTCACTAGGTCCCAAATTTTTGCAGGATAACTGAAATCTAATGCATAACAATTGTTCCATTTCTAATTTTTCTCATTACCAATATTTGCCTGCATATCATTTTGAGAGCCTAAAAATAGTTTTGAAGAAAAAGAAATTTGCATTTCTATAAAAAACATAGCTATTGCAGTTGCAGTACAAAACATTAAATGAAATGCACTGGGCCACTGCCCACCGGCAGTAATAAAAAAAAATCTTAGGCATTGTCATAGTTTTATAAACATAGGTAAATATGTAAATTCAACTTGGACATACTGTCCCTTTGAACACAATGACAATGCTGTTGCTGACATCTTGGCGATGATCTTGCCTTTTGCTGGAGAAATTGCTTCATAATGATAGCTTTAGCTAATCAGTTGAATTCAGTTCTAACTTACGCCTACATTCAATTGGATTGCCTCATCACTGGTGTTAAGTGTAACCCTTCTCATATTAATATTGTAACAAACGTGCAAATAAATTTTCATACTTCAACAAAGTAATTTACATGCTATATAAAAAATAATTAGGTACCTAAAATAGCACTCAATATTTATTAGCTTCCCTGACCATAGCCTACATCTGACCTGGCCGCTGCACCCTGGGTCAATCGCGAGTACAAAATTTTTGCAAAACTGATAATTAAACACTATGACTCATCTGTCATCGTCAAAAAGTTATTATTTAGTTGAATAATATTTAAAAATTGCAACCAACCTGTGAGAAGACTTGCTCGACGTCTCCGTATAGGTCGATATCCACGTCCGCCATGTTGGATGTGGCTAGGCCAGCATTCAGTCTGATTGAGACTCGGTCAGTGAAAGAAGTTTTCCTGAAAATAATCAAATTTTCTGTTTGTTTATATCACAAAAAACACAAATCAAGTTTCACTGAATATAATTATATACTTTTGTATAAGATAGCAAGCCGATTTACCTTGAATTTGACGAAAAAATCAAAAGTTGAAGTAACCACGCCACAAACTGCAATCACGCTCTCCAATGTCGGCAACGTAGACAAACAAAAGCCGAACGGCAAACGCTTTGGTCTCTAGTCAGCTTATAAGAAAATTAATGACGACATTTAATTTTTAAATTCGTCGTTCTGTTCTAAGAAGCACGCAATAGTTTTTTCATATTTTGAAGCGAGTGTGCAATTGGAAATGTATAATCCATTTAAATTGGTATAATTCGATAGAAGCAATTCCTTCCTATAATGCATGACAGGCTACATCAGGCCTACACTTCAGCGCCGAGATCACTATGTAACATGTTATGATTGATCAAAGACCAGCCTACAGGCCTACACTTCAGCGCCGAGATCACTATGTAACATGTTATGATTGATCAAAGACCGCGAATGTATTTATTAAACATTTTCTTAATTATTTCTAGCACTTACTTCCATAAGGTCCCATGGAAATAATTGCTACAAAAGAGGTTCCCACAGGAAATAACTGCTACAAAATAGGTTCCCAGTGAAAATAGTCTAGGGAAACCTATTTTCTAGCAGTTGCAAGTTTTAAGTTAAAGATAATATAAGTTATAAAGATATAAGCTAAAATGTCTTATCAGTGAGTCGAACGAAATTTATTTCTGGCGTATGCAGATCGAAAATCAGGTTACAAAAAGAAATATTAATACAATGAGACGTTTTTAACATGCAGTATTCATTATCAAGCCGGTGAAGAATTGACTTGAAAAAAAATTTGGAATTAGAATTTTAAAATGATAGTACTCGTAGTACAAATAGAGGGTATTGTGGAGGCAGTTCGAAATCAAAACTTGAAATTACTCTGAAAATAATTTCAACGTCCGGACGAATACTGTAGTTTGCAAGTTAACTCGCTCCTGATAATGGCAGCTGCAGCCATGGTTGAATTAATATTTATTCGACTATGGCTTCAGCTATCGCCAGTCTTGAAGCGCGAGGGCACCGCTTACGATGCTGGTGATGGTCTCGTTGTGGGCCTCACGCATGTCGTTTTTAGGTGCTGCAAATTGTAGATGGCCTGTGAGTCAACGGCTTAAGGTGGTGCTAGTAAGACAAATGTAGATATGATTAAGCCTACTTTAATTTATAAACCTGATTGCACTCTATTTATTTTCGACAGGATTCGGGATCCACGAACAACTGAATGCGGGATAACGGGAATTATTATGTTCATTATATCGTGATTCCATATGGTTGGGTTTCTTGTGTCATACTTTCAATTCGAAATTTGTCTTTTATATTCTGTAAATAATACATTCTTAAGGTTCAATTCGCATTATAAGAACACTACGTTGTACGAACTAGTAGGAACGTTGTAGGAATTGTTGTATGAACTTTTAAATGGCATGCAATCTATAGTAGAGGCACATGAAAATAATGTTTGGGCAAAAAATTAGTCTGTGAAAGAAATGCGGTTAGAAATTTGAGAAGCAATCGTATTCATGATACTCAAGGTTTGACCGCTTATATTGCATCAATCCGCGCTGAAACGAATTCTAGGATGTGGAGAGCGAGCTGGTATAGCTCAACACGGACCATGGGCGGAGCTGACGTTGCTGGTAACAGGAGAACCTTGGTTCTCCTCTATGGGTGCCCACACAGTGAAAGCAGGTTGCCAGCGTGCTGGTTACCTGCCGAGGCTGGCGCCTGAAATTGAAATAAATAGGCCTGACGGTTGCCTATTCGTACAGGTTTTCACTGTGAACACTTAAATTATTATCCTATGTTCATTCTTGTGGCAGGTTGGAGCAGGTTGCCCGCGCGGGCAAACCTGCTTTCACTGTTGCACGTACCCTATAGCGGGATAACCAAGCTTACTATTAGTTTGATGGTGTTTACCGTTTTCTTCATTCTTTGTAGCTTTCGTTCCATAATTGTTTGGAAGTTGTCATCCATCTGACGGTATAGCAACAGGTAACTGGAGTCACCGTCATAGAGAAGAGGTCAAGTTTCGACGGAAAACAAACACTGAAATAGAGCTTTGAAGCAGCTGTGTCATCACAACGCAAGCATCCCTTCTAATTATAATACACAAATCCCGAATTATGATATTAGGAACATCCCCAGTCATATGGTGTTATGCTTTCGCCTCACTGCGACATTCCGTTGATCGAGTGTTTGCCATTACAACGTAATCACTCATCAGCAGGTATCACTCATATCCGTTTTTAAATTTAAAACAAAAATAATGAGTATCATGTAAAGAGGGCCAACGCTAATTACCGTGCAGTGGGAATCCACGAATTCGTTTTACATTACATTATCAGTTAATTCATACGTAAATAAACATTACAGTTAAATAATATGGTTTTAATAATTGATATTAATCCTAGATGATTATTTTCCCCATGATTAATTATGAAGTAAACCTCTCAGAATTTCGCTCCCAAATTCAAATCCAAATCGTTCATGAAGAAAACTGAACAATTTTTCCTGATTCGATTGGTCAGGTCCAGTCTTGTGTATCACTCAAAATGGCTCATGAGGGGGACATGGCAATAGCCTCAATAACTCGACGGGCGCGTTTCTGTCCGACTAGTTTAAACATAGTCCAGTCTGTCCTATTGTGTCCAAATACATAAATAATTTATTTCTTCTCACAGAGCGCATTCCCGAAATTCGATGCAAAATTCCAACTAACAATTGTATTATCGACTTAGTGTTTGCGAAAAGTTGGTACCACGATACATGTTTACTTTCGTGTTAGAAAATCTTGAGTTTTCTATGAGTTACAGATTGCAGAAGGAAATCCCAGGTGCCAGTTGCTGTGCACTCGACGCAGTTCTCTTGACTCTTCATCAGCATTCAGCATCGGCAGTCAATCGCGGACCTTTGAGAAGTGCGGTTGCCTGCTGATAAGTGACCGGTATGCTCGGGCGACCGATAATTCGGAAAATCTATGTGAAAAACTAAGTATTTTTGGGATTCATCTATTATTCTTTCCTGTATATTGTCTCTAATTAATGGTTTTGTGGTGCAGATAACATTTGAGTAATCAAGTTACAGTGTCGAAGATGACGTCTTCGAGGACCGTTACCAAAACCAAAGTCGCCAAATCCCGTTCTAAAATGGCCAAAGATCCCATGGCAGTCACATGGACTGAAAATTATAGCGACACAATAGAAAAATATTGGAAGCGTCTCCCGAAAAGCGTGGCAAATATTATTGTGTTCCTCTCGGTCTTCATCCTTGGAGCGACAGTTAGAGGTCGGTGTTGTTGCAATGCAATCACGTGGTCCTAGTCAAGGCAAATTTTAGATCCCTATAACCTCTTTATTCAACATGTACTCACATTAAAAATATTTTTCTAGACTTGTGACTTCTACGCAGCGTTATGATCTATCAAATCAATACTGAAATTATATGTTCGTAATCCTTACATTATTTGAAGTTAGGTTCGTATTATCGTCACGCAAGCACCGATGCGTGACGGGAGCAAATAGTATATTTTTACACTTCGTGGTACTCACTTATAAGCAATAGTTCTCGTGCATGGTGCATGCGTTGTAACATACCGTTGACGATACAATTGTTATGACGCATGAGCTGTCATGCAGCATTATACTCTTTCTTGCACCGCATGCGCCGTCTTGCAGCATTACAGACGCATTTCTCGAACCGCATGCGCTGTCTTGCAGCATTATACTCTTTCTTGCACAGCATGCGCTGTCTTGCAGCATTACACTCTTTCTTGCACCGCATGCGCTGTCTTGCAGCATTATTTCTTGCACCGCATGCGCTGTCTTTCAGCATTATACTCTTTCTTGCACCGCATGCGCTGTCTTGCAGCATTATACTCTTTCTTGCACCGCATGCGTTGCCATGCAGCATTACAGAGCATTTCTCGAACTGCATGCGCTGTCATGCAGCATTATATACGACTTTCTTGTGTCGCGTTCGCCCCGTGCTATGTACCGCAAGTATCACAATTTTTGCAAGACGAAACCATAAATTCATCGCTCACAAGTGAAGAAAAGCATTTCATTCTTCTGAATGAACCTGCAATGCACTATTCATGGTTAAATCCTTGCACCCTCAGTTGTTTCGTGGAATTGTTATTTAATTTTAGTAAACTAAAACTCGTCTATTGACGAGTCCAACCTAAACCGCAAAATCACATATTTCAAACTTGATTTTCTGTGTACTCACTTATTTTACTGACTTATCTGACTTATACTACTTTACTGTATTATTACTTAAACTATTTTTCCTACCATTACTTAACTGACTTATAGTGTACTGACTGACTTATAGAGCTTGCCACTAGTGTGTACTGACATTTCAAAATCTGATATTTCCACCTTGATTTTCTTCTGCATGGACTCCAATAAAATGGTTCGCTCACACAAAGAGCATTTCTCTATGGCATCTGAAAATGTCAAATGTCTGCCAGTTGTGGTGACAGAATCAACAAGCAGTCATCGAAATCAAATTTTGTAAATCAAATCGAAGCTACATTTAGCAGTAATTTCCATTGACGAATCGTTTACAATGCAGTCAAAAGTATATGCCTAGTGAACTGCTTATTGCGAATTTGACCCTTGAATGCTCTTCGCTAAAACAAGGATTGAAACTTATTTCTGCTTACTGATTTTCTTGAGAATGTCTTAAAAAATATAACCCAGTACTCACTGAAGTGAGTGACAGAGAGCGCATTTTCTCGGTCGTCCGTGACGTGAAGTCACGGACGGACGTCACGGACGGATATGACGAGCACAATAGTGCTTTTTTAACGGATTTTCTCATTTATGGAAAAAGTGTACTATTGTGCTCGCCATGTCCCTTCGTCTGTCTGTCCGTCCGTGACTTGACGTTTTCGTCAAGAAAATGCGCTCTCTGCAGTGAGTACTGAGTTATATTTTTTCCATAAATGAGAAAATGCGCTATAAACGCGAAAAATGAAATTGTTATTAATTACACGTTACGAAAATATCCATCCTTCCCTTGTACGCTGATTGGCTTAAGACTCAAAAGTATATGACGCTGAAGAAGGAGTTTTTAGCCAGCCTTGACGCCGAAAAAGAAGTTATTAGCATGCAGTCTCTCCCTCCTCCAGGAGAGTGGCTGCACATCGCTGCTCACTTCTTCAGGGCCTTCTTCGGCGCCGGCGTCAGCAGCGCTGGCACCCCTGACGCCCCCTTTAACAGCTCGGGCCCCGGGGGCCTGCCCCTGTATACCAACCGCCTGCAAAACTGGCCCTACTATTTCGTGGTCTCCGTCATAGTTTCCTACACGTTCTTCTTCGGGATAGGAGGCTTCTTGCACGTAAGTTGTGGTGGTGATGATAACGAAGAGTTGTGGTGGTGATGATAACGAGGAGTTGTGGTGGTGATGACAACCTGGAGTTGTGGTGGTGTAGGAGGCTTCTTGCACGTGAGTTGTGGTGGTGATGATAACGAAGAGTTGTGGTGGTGATGATGACGAGGAGTTGTGGTGGTGATGACAACCTGGAGTTGTGGTGGTGATGATAACCTGGAGTTGTGGTGGTGATGATAACCTGGAGTTGTGGTGGTGATGACAACCTGGAGTTGTGGTGGTGATTGGTGATGACAACGAGGAGTTGTGGTGGTGATGACAACGACGAGTTGTGGTGGTGATGGCAACAAATGAGTGTTGTTATGTATGTCGTTGTAGTAGTTTTTGATTTTTATTCGTTTCAACTCACAATATTACCTTGATAAACCAAAATCATGATTCTTTACATATAAGATTATTGCATGCTAAAAAGTTTACTTATATATCCCTTGCAGTGGTATTACTACGTGAACAACTATTTACTGTACATAAATATTATTGCATGCTAAATAGTTCACTTATATATCCCTTGCAGTGGTATTACTACGTGGGCAACTATTTCCTGTACATAAATATTATTGCATGCTAAATAGTTTACTTATATATCCCTTGCAGTGGTATTCCTACGTGAACAACTATTTACTGTACATAAAGATTATTGCCTACTAAATAGTTCACTTATATATCCCTTGCAGTGGTATTACTACGTGAACAACTATTTACTGTACATTTACTGTACATAAATATTTTAACTGTACTACTGTACATAAATACTGTACATATTTTATTTACTGTACATAAATATTATTGCATACTAAATAGTTCACTTTTATATCCCTTGCAGTGGTATTACTACGTGAACAGACGTGACCGCGCGCACGAGTGGAAGTGTCAGCCGGACAACTGGCTGAGTCCTGAGCTAGAGAGACATGAGATCCTACTGGGTTCCTTCTCGCTGTTTATTGGTGCGACGATATCCTCGCTGGTGTCCTGCTACGTCATGAACGGCGGCGAGACCTGCATCTACTACAACATCGACGAGTATGGCTGGACCTGGTACTTTATCTCGTGGCCATTCACTTTCATATGGCAGGTCAGTAACACTGAGTGCTGGTGTACACTCAAAGAAATTGATGGAACCTTGTCCAAATAGTGAAGCACTTTTGTCAATACGTGGGTCATCTGACCCAGTTTAGCCCTGAAAAAGGACGTATCAGTGCTACAGGCAAGAAGTGTGTCAGTATCTTCGGCATTAAAGAATAGGCCTGGATAGGCCTGTTTGGTAATGATTAACATCATTGGGAATGATGGTAACTATAACTATATGACTATACCAGGAATAACTCTACTTGGTCTCGTGGCCCCTCACGTTTCTATGGCCAATGTGCGGTACATAGAAATATTGTACGTGGAAATATTGTGCTTGGAAATATTGTATCTAATGTTTCAAGTATGAGATCTGGCAATGAGCATCGGCCTTGAGTGATTAATTTCTAAACAAATAAGCTTAATTTTTTGCAAAACAGTGCGACTTCTCTCAATAATCTAGTTAATAAGAACTTTTATCGCTCGGCCTCAAAGAATCTATAAGACATCACACCATATTTGCATTATTTTAATGAAGACCCAGTAAAATCGTTAAATTTATCCCACTTTTCTTTGGTTTGATATTTTTTAAGTGGAAAATTTTTTATTTTTTATCATCGTGGAAAAAATATAGCAAAACGTAGAGCCTAAATGCGGTACCCTTTGTCTGGAACCGTTGCCTAGGACTACCTGACGTACTGGCACCACCGCATGTACCATCACCCGCTGCTGTACCGCCACTTCCACAAGCTCCACCACAAGTACAAGCAGCCAACCGCCTTCAGCGTCACCGCCATCCACCCCTTCGAGTTCGTACACATGCAGGGTGTCATGGTCAGCCCTATGTTCCTCTTCCCCGTGCACTGGAGTGAGTCAGGCTTGTCTTAAGTATTGTACAAATATTAACGTATGTAACTTAAAACTATGTTGGGGAAAGTGGGATACAGTGGGAAATAAGGGAATAGTGGGACATGTCACTTATTTATATACCAAGAAATAATATTGTAATAATATTACCGTATGTAACGTAAAACTATGTTGGGGATAGCGGGGTATAGTATAATATAGACATAAGGGAATAGTGGGACAAGTTCATTATTTTATATACTAACCCGTGCACTGGAGTGAGTCAGGCTTGTCTTAAGTATTGTAACAATATCAACGTATGTAACGTAAAAAAATATAACTCAGTAGTCACTGCTGTGAGTGACAGAGAGCGCATTTTCTCGTCGACGAAAACGTGAGGTCACTGACGGACAGACAGAAAGACAGACAGAAAGACAGACAGACGGACATGGCGAGCACAATAGTGCATTTTTTCCATAAATGAGAAAATGCGCTAATTATGTTGGGGAAAGTGGGGTACAGTGGGACATGGGGAACAGTGGGACACGTCCATTATTTTATGTAACAAAAAATAATATTGAACAACATTTTGAGGTAGTTATAGAAGATAAGTTATTGCATTGGTTGATGTGGGAGAGATACAATATAGAAGAGAAATTGGTGCAAGGAAAAGGTAAAAAAATCTTTCCGGCCATTGCAGGGAGAACAAAAGCTCAATAACTCTATTCATGTATAATTTGGTTTCACTGAGCCAAAAACATCATATTTTGGCAGGATAACAAATCAAAAAGACGAAGATGACGAATTTGCAATATTTTACTTGCGCCATAGAGAAAATACTTTGCGTTTTTCATTTCCTGATGCAGCTGAACTCGTATCAATCAGAAAGAGAGACATCAAAGTCATTCAATGCCACCCTATACTAATTGCGGAAAAACATAAAGACATATTCATAACCTGAAATTTGGCCATAATTTTCATAATTAGGGAAAGTGTCTTAATGTACTCCACGGACTGTCTCATATGGTACCACTGCCTTGGGTACTGTGGGACATTTTATTTCATTTTGTATTTTTTTATTATGACTAGCCAAAAGAACAGTTCTGATCATATCTTAGGTACTTAGCAATACAACGAAGGATTTGATGTTTAATTTTATTTTGAGTTTCGCATTATATAAAGGAAGTTAATAATGACATTTGAAATTTTTTATATTCCAATGCACCCCACTTTCTCCTACGACTGAAGGCTACAATATCAACTAAATCAAGTATATATACTATACACTATGTACAGTTATCTACTCCAGACCCTTGCTTCTAAATGCCGGCTTAATAACTGATTTTATTTTCCATCATACCTGATAACCAATAAGGAATGCCTACACTACCACGGCATCATCGGTTGCTAGCGGTAACACTTAACGTTCTGGTTGATTGCAGCGACGTTTGTGACGCTACTGATGTACCTTTACTACCACGGCATCATTGGTAGCAGTAACACTAACGTTCTGGTTGAATGCAGCGACGTTCGTGACGCTGCTGATGCACCTTTACTACCACGGCATCATTGGTAGCGGTAACACTTAACGTTCTGGTTGATTGCAGCGTCGTTCGTGACGCTGCTGATGTACCTTTACTACCACGGCATCGTTGGTAGCGGTAACACTTAACGTTCTGGTTGATTGCAGCGACGTTCGTGACGCTACTGATGTACCTTTACTACCAGTGCATCATTGGTAGCAGTAACACTAACGTTCTGGTTGAATGCAGCGACGTTCGAGACGCTGCTGATGTACCTTTACTACCACGGCATCATTGGTAGCGGTAACACTAACGCTCTGGTTGATTGCAGCGACGTTCGTGACGCTGCTGATGTACCTTTACTACCACGGCATCATCGACCACTCGGGCATCAACTTCAAGGCATATTGGTGGCAGCCGTGGCAGCCAGACTGCATCTTCCACGATAACCACCACCAATACTTCCACGTCAACTTCGGCTTCAACTGCGAGCTCTGGGACAAGGTGGGTCACGCTGCTGCCAGCTCTGGGACAAGGTGGGTCACGCTGCTGTCAGCTCTGGGACAAGGTGGGTCACGCTGCTGCCAGCTCTGGGACAAGGTGGGTCACGCTGCTGCCAGCTCTGGGACAAGGTGGGTCACGCTGCTGCCAGCTCTGGGACAAGGTCTCTTACACAACTTCGACTTTCCGCCAGACTTGAGCTTTGCTGAGAACGTTTTTCCTTCTCTTTAAAAAGCAGTCATTACTTTTGAGACAATACCTCTAGAAACTTCAAGCAATCGGAAAGTTTCTGTCACACTAGCACCTGTCATACGGGCACAAACAATTTGACCTCTTTGAAAGTCAGTAAGGTTTGCCTTTTATAGGTTATAGTCTTATAGATTATTTTATTGACGCAAAAAAAAAATTACTAAAAATATCTGTGCAAGGATAAAATATCAATTAGCAGCAACAATAAACAGTAAAAAATACAAATATGTCGCGTTTTCATTGTTATGAACATGTTCAAAAATGACGATTGTTGATTGTGTTTTCCTAACTTTGTCCATCTCCTGTATATCTCGAGTCATTGAAGCGTAACAGCTTGCACGGCACTATTTTTGTTCTATTCTTCAAGGAAAAAAGTTTCGCGTTCTTGGCTCAAATAACTCAATTACTTTTTATTTTGAAACAATGTCACCCTAAGTTAAAGCGCCGCGCTGGCGTCAGGATATGCGATCCTAGCGCATCCTGTAGGAGACGTGCTCATGAGTCCTGAGATTGCGGACCGGACGAGTGTACTCTGCGTAGTAAGTATTTAACAGATAAACTAGAGTTTATATCCTTCATCTCCTCCAACGTCGGACATTTAGCGCCGATTAGTGCGTGACATTTTCCGAGGAAAAATTTTTTAGTAAATATCCTTATGTAATAGATGCACTTGTTGGTTTTTATACATAGGAAAGACAAGCGATTCTGTGTCATCAGACAATTTACTCCCCGACATATTCAGATTTTTTCCCATTGCGCTTCTGAATTGTAACACCCGCCAAATCCATTATTCAGATTATAGGATAATATTTTCGCGCTATTGTATTTATGAAATCAAGTCACGGCCGTGGGTCTCCAGCCTATGAACAGATGGGCGCTTACAGATGTCGATGCTTAGCTTTATTGTAAACATATTGGTTGGCCGCAATTTTATTGTGAAAAATATAAATTGGTAAAAAGCTAAATTGCAGCAATTACTTCATGTAAATCATTCAATAAAGATGAGCCGTAATTTCTTTTTAGAAACAATGCTGCATATCGTACAGGGGTAACCTTGATCTCATGCCTATGAGGGCCTCAGGGATAAATAACCTGTAAGTGGCATAATCAGTTTTAGTACGTTAGAACTTATGTCAGTTGCAAGGTAACAGATGTTTCTTATAATTAGTTGAGATAATACAGCCCTACCTCACGCCACTTCTTATCGCCAGCCCTTATCAGTATCGAGCAAATCTTGGTTCAGATCTTTATCACTGCACCCAAAATATATGCATGGTTTAGATCCCTCATTAAACATGAGCGTAATCAAGCAATAAGTGCAAGACAAACAAACTCTTGAGAGAGCGACCTTTACCCTCGGCTTCTCTAGGACATTTTCCCAGACTCGTACGTGCCCTGACCATGCCAGTTGCGATACAAAACCTTGGCCGCCACCCCGATAACGTACGTTATCTGTCGAGCTACCACTGAGTCACGTTTTAACATGGGTGCACATGCAATATGTTACTTCGAAGCCATATTTTAGCCCCTAGTATTGGGCCTGAAGCTTTAAATATCAAAGATTTTTCTAAGAAATTCAGAAAAATAATCCTTAGTTTTTAGCGCATTTTCTCATTTATGGAAAAAATGCACAATTGTGCTCCCATGTCCGTCTGTCTGTCTGTCTGTCCGTCCGTCCGTCCGTGACCTCATGTTTTCGTCGACGAGAAAATGCGCTCTTTGTCACTCACTGCAGTGAGTACTGAGTTATATTTTTATTGTTCATCAGTTGTAATCAAGACTGCGTTCAATTTAATCATGTTTTCCAGACTAAAATATTGTTCTTCACACCTTTGATAGATTTTGTTTGAATCTGAATTTTAGCTTGAAGTTCGCTCACAGGCACTGACTGTTGATTCTCGTGAGTTTCTTATATTCACAAAAATCCAATGTTTAATTCAGTCACCATTAGAATCACTAAACTATTTACAACAGTAAGACCGTCCAGGAAAGCCACACACCATTAAAATCGCTGAGGTAGTATATCTTCTGAAGCCTATATGGGGCGATATGCCTGTTATGTATAATTAATATATCATGTATCTCGATACAAGAATAACTGCCTTGTCATCCTCGCAACGCGTGCAACAACCCGAAGTAAATATATGTTCTGTATGACGTATTATTAATGTTTCCAGATTCACGGAACGTACAGACAGAAAGACAAGATATACAACGAAGAGACAACCCAAAGTAAATAATGTTCTGTATCACGTATTAACTCTTCACGTATTAATTCTTCACGTATTAACTCTTCACGTATTAACTCTTCACGTATTAACTCTTCACGTATTAACTCTTCACGTATTAACTCTTCACGTATTAACTCTTCATCACGTCTTTCCAGATTCACGGAACGTACAGACAGAAGGACAAGATATACAACGAAGAGATATTCTTCGGACAAGGGAAGGACATCGCGGACTGCGACGAGGCTGAACTGGTCGTGGACTTGGCGGAGCGGCGCTCAGAGAACAAGCTCGCCTACCGCGGCACCGTACAGGAGGAACAGGTTCAGGTTCTGGCGAAGAAACTTAATAAGAAAAAGTGATGTCTCGAGGTCCCAATAGCACCGATATATAATTAATCGAGGTCCCAATAGCACCAATATATAATTAATCGAGGTCCCAATAGCACCAATATATAATTAATCGAGGTCCCAATAGAACCAATATAGAGTTAATCGAGGTCCCAATAGCTCCAAAATATAGTTAATCGAGGTCCCAATAGCTCCAATATATAATTAATCGAGGTCCCAATAGCTCCAATATATAATTAATCGAGGTCCCAATAGCATCAATATATAATTAAATTAAAAGATTTCCTACGAAGAAACTTAATAAGAAGAAGTGATGTCTTGAGGTCCCAATAGCACCAATATATAATTAATCGAGGTCCCAATAGCATCAATATATAATTAAATTAAAAGATTTCCTACGAAGAAACTTGATAAGAAGAAGTGATGTCTCGAGGTCCCAATAGCACCGATATATAATTGAATTAAAAGATTTCCTATTTTGCTTCTCTGTTCAGTTAGAGTTTAACTTATTCTAACATCGAACCCTAAGTTACGCAAGTCAAGATGAGAGAGCTTTCAGCCGCTTATTATTACATGGTCTCAGTACATGCAAAAAGAGAATTGTAAATTCTTGAATATAAGGCAACATGTGTATTATTTTCAAAATACATACCTTCTTTTCTTATAGAAGCTCTTTAAATTCAAGTGCAAGTATTAATTAATTACGTTAACCAGAATAATTAAATACACATGGAAGTCAGTATACTTATTGCAAACATGTATGCCCGACGCTCTTTCATTAGACGATAATTTTCTTACCAAGCAAATCAGTCGGCTAGTTTTTGTGAAGAAACAGTCGTCTCTCGATGTCAAAACGATATTCAGCATTGGTTTAATGAGATTTGATTAAACTGAATTCTGTATATTGTTGTTTTGAGCGACAATTCATTAATTGCCTTAATATAACATGCAATAACATGTGGATTAAAAGAATATAAAACATGTTGCATTTTAATATTGGATTCCAATATTTGAGCGTGGTATCTTACATACCTTTGCCGATAGGCTATGAAAATTTTATTTTCAATATATTGGTTATTAATCTTGAAACGATATTTGTAATATACCGGTGGCCATACTTTCAAAACTCGCCAAGTGAACGTAAGTACTTACTCTCTATTTTCTTGTCTATGATTGGTGGATTTTGCTTGAAAGGCCGTCAATGATTGGCTGATGAATTTACGATCTCTTAACTTTTTTTTTGAAAGTATAGGCCCAGCATGAGAAACCCGATAATGGGTGCATGACGGACCGAACCAAAAGACAGCTGTGAGATGGTCAGATGGATGATGTTACGTCCATTTATTGCTGTATTCCTTTCTAAACTATTACAATCAAAGCTACGCGAGAAATATCGCTGAATTTTATCATTAGATAATACAAAACTTGTACAAACTCCGTAGAGTTGTTAAAATTCTTGCATTTATTGAAATCATTCTAACTGGAACCCATCTTAAAGTTCTCACAATGGGCATTATAAATCTTACCATAACCAACTAATAGTGTTTGCTGTGAAGAAAATGGTGTTGGGTGAAAAAGTCTGGTTATAAATTATAAGGCAATTAAAATAAAGCTATTGTAATGCTCTAAAGCGGAAACAGGCTATGTAAAAAAGCCGATGCTGGTGATGCTGACACCGTTCTGTCGGAGAGCCGATGTAGGTGATGCTGACACCGTTCTGTCGTCGTTCTGTCGAAGAGCCGATGTAGGTGATGCTGACGCCGTTCTGTCGAAGAGCCGATGTAGGCGATGCTGACGTCGTTCTGTCGAAGAGTCTATGTAGGAGGATATGGCCTATATTTTGTCCCACATCTGGCATAGAGATTGTTCATCCATCATGCAGTATGTAACCTGTCAGATCGATTAACTTTCGACTTGTGTACAATACTGGCATTTGAATATGAAATTTTACAGGGGATCGCGTTTACCTCCTAACTTTAAAAATGTACTACTGCAGAAAATGAACTATGAGAAAATTCCAAATCGAACATCAGTGCTTTTGAATTCCACACTTAATTATTATCTAAATCGTAGAATATATTTATCACAATAAGTTGTCTCAAATACCCCTTATTTTCTTTGTTACTTCCTCTACACATAAAGGTGGACAAACTTGGCAGGCAAAACCGTGGCAAGATGAGCACGAGCTTAAACTTATGTCAATAAATAAAATAGAAGCAAGATATTTTGCAAGATATTTTGCAAGAAGATATTTTAGAAGAAGCAAGATATTTTGCAAGATATTTTGCAAGAAGATATTTTAGAAGAAGCAAGATATTTTGAATAGAAGCAAGATATTTAGAGAAGAAGCAAGATATTTTGCTTCCAGAACAGCCCGGAACACTGAGTCTATTACAGTACGCTGAGCGAAATTGATTGTTTTATAATCAGTTTCATGCATGGCGGTGAAAGACGCTCCTCCAGCCCAGATCTCTGTCAAGGATCATGGAATTGAACTGTAAAGATAGGCGAGATTAAACCTGACGATGACTAGACACGATTTGTGGTCGTTATTGACCTAACTAATCGAAAAATATTCTTGTCAAACGCCCAGTGTTTAATGAAAAACGCACGTACCACGGACATTTCCATGTGTTTCTTTTGTGATCTTCGCAAACTTCCCTTATTAAAAAACAGTTGTCTCAATTTCAGTTGTGTCAACTTGAGTTTGGTTCTGTTGAAATGGAGCCCGCAAGGTGACACGCCCAGACAACCTATTTCTTTGCAACGTTTAGCAATACTTGTCCGCATGACGTATAGTGCCACTTGCATTACATTATTCACAATATTTGCGTGATATAACTCAGTCAGAAATAGGTCCGAAGTTTACATTTAATTGGCTAAACTTTCGAATTTTCAGTTGCTCTGCCGCAGAACCAACCAATGATCAATAATATTAACAATATTATAATTAATTAAATAATATTATATTTCATTATTATTATAATTAATCAATTAAATAATATTAACAAGAACATAGAAGCTCGGACTGACGCCTGAACATCGGTACCATGCACAGCCCCTGGCCCTCGACTCCATGAGAGACCAGGACCAAAAATGAGGGTAGACCTCTATCATGCATCCCCTTGATATCCCCTCTAGCATATCCCCTTGATATGACATTAATGAGGGTAGACCTCTAGCATGCATCCCTTTGATATCCCCTCTAGCATATCCCCTTGATATGATTGTAATAAAGGTAGACCTCTAGCATGCATCCCCTTGATACCCCCTCTAGCATATCCCCTTGATATCCCCTCTAGCATATCCCCTTGATATGATATTAAATGAGGGTAGACCTCTATAGTACTTACGCTCTATTTTCTTGTCTATGATTGGTGGATTTTGCTTGAAAGGCCGTCAATGATTGGCTGCCGAACTTACGATCTCGTAACTTTTTTTGAAAGTATACCCCAAGGCCCATGCCTGTCCACGATCTCATCTCTACGCACAAATTCAGTTCAGTGGTTCTGGTGTAAACTTAACTGACATCGTACATTCATCTATATTATAGTTCGGACGGATTAATTAATTAAATATTTCATAATTCATATATTGTTAAGTGAAAAATTCTAATTATTTACATAGTCGGAGCTGTGTCTTAAAATTTGTTGCGACATGAAATAATTAAGGCATGATTCTTAAGCCATAATCAAGAGTCACCACTCGAGTAAAATTCAGGGGCCATACTTTCAAAACTCGCTAAGTGAACGTAAGTACTTACGCTCTATTTTCTTGTCTATGATTGGTGGATTTTGCTTGAAAGGCCGTCAATGATTGAACGATGAACTTACGATCTCATAACTTCTTTGAAAGTATAGGCCCTGATACGTAAATTTACGATCTAATATTTTTTGTTTCAAAATTGGGAGAGGCGTGTTCGCTTAGTTTTAACAATGCAAACTGAATTCAAAACTTGACTGACGAGAGCTGCAATTTCGCTACAAAACTTCTGGGTACATGAAAACTCTTGAGACACGCGAAATGTCCATTATGAGCTCGCCGCGCGCGCTGAAAAACATGAAATAATCTACCAGAAGTCAACTTAATATTGACTATCGAACCATGAATCATAAAAAAAAACATTGAACAGTGAACCCCTGTGAATCATGAAAACATTGAACAGTGAACCCCAGTGAATCATGAAAACATCGAACAGTGAACCCCAGTGAATCATGAAAACATCGAACAGTGAACCCCAGTGAATCATAAAAACATTGAACACTGAACCCCAGTGAATCATGAAAACATTGAACAGTGAACCCCAGTGAATCATGAAAACATTGAACAGTGAACCCCAGTGAATCATAAAAAAAACATTGAACAGTGAACCCCAGTGAATCATAAAAAAATTGAAGAGTGAACCCCAGTGAACAGTTCACCCAGTGAATCATGAAAAAACAGTAAATAGTCAACCCAGAAAACCAAGAAAACAGTAAATAACTACCCAGACAAATCATTACAACAGTAAATAGCCAACCCAGTAAGCCATGAAAACAGTAAATAGTGAACCTTTTCATATTTAAACTGAGCAGTTTTGGATCCTGTATTTGACTGGTGTAATTAATGACGGAAGTGGAGTAATTACGTGCGATTAAAACTATGATATGCGATTAAAATTATTATAAAGTATTCGTTTGAAGCTTCAATGAGCGACTCCATGCAGGCAAAGCAGCAATAATGTGACGTCTAGCAGTTCAGTTAAGAATATATTATTTTAACACATCCAATATGCAGAGTTAACGAATGAGTAATTTAACAGCTAACATCAATGATTACAAAAGTTTTGTCACGCACATTTATTAAGTGAGTTCTAAAGGTGTAGCTTTCAATGCCACATTATTCAGTTTTATGATGCTAGATTGAGAGGCTGCTATTGGTCAAACATTCATTCTTCAATTTACAAGTAAGAGAACATGTTTTATGGTCTCGCCATTTCTAGACTCATCGTGCATTAATGAAGAATTGGGAGCCGATAAATGGCTTAAGCTGTTTTAGAAAAATCTATTTAACGTAAGATATACCGAGAACCACAGCCATCGTAAGTATTCTTCAGATCAACCTGAAATAGAACTATTATGGCATTATGGCAGGCGTAAGAGAATAATGTAAGATTAAACTAATTCTAAGAGAATAATCATACGCACTACACTATACTGGCCGTATGTATGCATATACAAATATCAGGTTAGTGTATTAAGCAATACAGCATGCTTAAAATTTTTGGTATATCACTCCTTCAGACTCATGTAAACAGAACTCAGACTTATAACACCAATTAAAAGATCATACAATAAATTTTCTAATTTCTTTTTTAATTTATTGCATTTGTGCTAAATTTTACATTAATACGATCCCAACGATACGATATTTTATGATATTTTAACTACTTACGATCTTAATGGCCATTCCAATAGGTAGAATGTAATATTGTTCTTCTTTTATATGAGCGTCGTCGTAAGTGTCTTTGACTTGAAACGATGCTATAGAGACAATTAATAGGTTTACTCTATTTATTATTTATAGAATCTGTAGGGTTGATTCATACTGAATCAATCCTACGTATTCATACGTATGTTCTAAGTAACGAGAGGTATTTTTAGCGCATTTTCTCATTTATGGAAAAAATGCACTATTGTGCTCGCCATGTCCGTCTGTCTATCTGTCCGTCCGTCCGTCCGTGGCCTCAAGTTTTCGTCGACGAGAAAATGCGCTCTCTGTCACTCACTGCAGTGAGTACTGAGTTATATTTTTTTTAGTTGCCAGCCTCACGCTCATTTTCCAATCATATATTTATACGTTCATATATGAGACATGATTTGATAACTCAATTTTCAATTTAATACTACGATTTTTGGTATTTTAGTTCATATTCCGTTACCGTAAATTTGAATCTGGTAGCTTTTACAATAAATTTTATCGGCATGTAAGGAGTGCACA